CTAGTTCTACATACAGGAGGCCAAAGGCCCTGCAACAATGGCTGGCTCCCTGCCTTCCCTCCACAACCTGCAATTAGGCAACCAACCTTAAAGGTACAGGGACATAGCAGTGTCTGTTGTTATGGTGTATACACTGATCAGCCACAACATTAAAACCACCTGCCCAATATTGTGTAGGTCACCCTTGTGTGCTGCCAAAATAGCTCTGCTAAGTTAAGGTTGCAAGGTGGGGCCTCCTTTGATCGGATTTGCTGTTCCAGCACACACGCTCAATCGCATTGAGATCTGGATGATTTGGAAGCCAACACAACACCCTAAACTCTTTGTCATGGTCCTCAAACTATTTCTGAACATTTTTACAGTGTGGCAGGGTCCATTATCCTGCTGAAACAGGCCATTGCCATCAGGGAAAACCATTGCAATGAAAAGAGTGTACATGGTCTGCAACAATCTCTAGTTAGATGTTACATGTCAAAAGTAACATCCACATGAATACCAGGACCCAAGGTTGCTCCCCACGTGCATCAAAGAGCCGTGGGTGCCCATGACTCAGATGCCAGTTCATCGTTTATCATGCACCACTTTTGGTAGGTACTAACCACTGCATACCAGGAACACCCCACAAGACTTGCTGTTATGGAGATGCTCTGACTAATCATCACTATTTGGCCCTTGTCAAAGTAAATCAGATCTTTTTACTTGCCCATCTTTTCAACAAATGAAATTGAGAATTGACTGTTCACTTGCTTTCTAATATATCCCATCCCTAACGATATAATCACTATCACCTATCAGTGGTGTTAATAATGTGCCTGAGTAATGTGTATCACAATGTAGTTGTGCACTGAGCACGTCTGCAGTTAGCCATGCATTGATAAAAGCAAACATGTTTATAAGCAACTTATATTTGATACCACATTCCTATTCATAATCTTAAAATGTGGTTTTGGGCAATATGCTGCCAGCCCACTGATTCACACATTGGTTATATCATTCTCTTGTCCTGCACATATCTTGCATATCCATTTCTCTATATAAGAACACACACATTGTTGTGTTTGGTTGACTGCCGACCCCAACCAATTATTCCAACAAAACTATATACCCATGATTCGTACCTTAATGGAGGACATGGAGAAGTGGGTTGATAAACCAATATCTTGGATAGGTAGGATTCACTCTGTGAAAATGAATATCCTCCCTAGGATACTGTTCCTATTTCAAACTCTCCCGGTCCGATTAACTAAGTCAAATTTAGGAGTACTTCAACAAGCTATTGGAAAATTCATTTGGCAGAATAAAAATTATAGGATGTCTCGCAATGTTCTTTACAGAGCGAAAGCGAGGGGAGGTCTGGGATTGCCAAACCTATACTTCTATTACCTGGCGGCCCAACTCACCCAAATAGCGTTATGGCACTCTCCTCCGGAGGAAAGGCGGTGGGTAGATCTGATATCTTCGATGCTGGGATCAGACATCCCGCAATTTTATATGTGGGTCCCGAAGGAACATAGACCACCTATCAGTGTGGATTGCCCAGCTATATCTAACTCTTTGAAAATATGGGACGCCACGTCATCAAAATATAGTCTATCCTCTTCCCCTTCGCCGCTTACCCCTTACCTGAGGAATACATAATTCCTCCCAGGGATGGATGCAATAGATTTTAGGGGTATTGAAACTGCAGGCTTACAGTGTTTATACCATCTCTATGAAGGCGGAGCCGTTTTATACCATTTGAGGAATTGAAAGCCAGGGCTCCGCTGCGTCCAAATGAGGGACTATGCCCATGCTCCCGCGATTAAAAAAAGTTGCCCTAACGCAACTTACATTTTTTAAAAAGATGTGTATCGGAGAGCACTTCCCAAGAGGCTTGATCAGTAATCTATACACCTAAGCACAAACAGCTAACATATATAGACCAATGGGAGACGGATCTCAATGAAGTATTGGAGCGTGTCGAGTGGCAAGAAATATGGGAAGCGGCCGCAACATCCTCTATATGTGTCTCTCTGCAGGAACAAGCCTACAAAACTATGTTTCAATGGTATACCACACCGGTGAAACTTTGCAGAATGAACAAAACTCCAACAGATTCATGCTGAAGAGGCTGCGGGCATAGGGGAACTTATCTACATATGTGGTGGGACTGCCTGGAGGTACAAAAATATTGTAAACAGATCACGGCACTGCTGCGAGACGTTTTTGATAGAGACGTTAAACTTGACCCTTGGTTATTCCTCCTGGCCAGGTACATGGACGACTGGTCAGGTACGGAACTGAACCTTTTACATAAGGTGAACTTGGCGGCCAGGAAGGCCTTGGCCCAGCTGTGGCTACAGAGGGAGACCCCCCTCACTTACAGCAGTTACAAAAAAAATCAAAGATACATTACTCATGGACAAATAACAGCTCAGGTCAGGGTCACCATGAATAACTTTGAAAAGATTTGGCTCCCTTGGATGGATAGCAATGTGGGAGCTTAGGAATAGGGCGGGGTGGGCTAATTCCCCCACGACACTGCTCTCCATGCTATCATGAGGCAACGGCTGATGACCTCACATCACCATCCCTTCTGGGGGTACTTTAAGGTATATAGTTTTACAAAGTTGGAGACACACCTGGTCATACATCGCCTGGGCCGAAATTCTCCTCCCGTGACTGTCCCTCTCCCGCCCTTTCCAGTTCTGACATCCCCCCCATCCCATATCTCTATTACCCTATGTCTATCCACCCCTCTTTCAGCATTATCTCTTTTTCCTTTGTTCTTCGTTACCTCTTTCTCTATCATTCAACTTAACCTTATCTCTCCTCCCGCTGTTCTTATAGGATTTAATGACTATCGAGTAGTGGTTTAAATTAAGAGAAATACATAGGGCTGGAAGAGTAGAATTGTAGGATCACCACATTCATTATAGGGACGAGGGTGTTGATAATGGGCTACTGTTCGCGCTTACAAAAAGACATAAAAACTAAGCTCAACTTCTGAAGTCGTTTTATACTTGGTTGGTCAGATCAATTCTGTTTTATTTTATCTTTCATTTAAATACCCTGGCGGGTCATCACCGATGTAAAGACTTCCACAATTGCTATGTTTTGCTTTATTGACTTTACTGCTGCTAATAGCTGTTTCGTATGTTAGCTTATTTCTGCATCATGTTATTACAAAAGTATTGTTATCTGGATGTAAACTGATATGTTTTTTTGCTTCTGTTAAACTTGTTGATGACTTGCCTTGGAATATATAAAGAATATATAAAAAAAAAAACACACACACACATTGCTTTAACCTTTTGATCCCAGCCAGAGACTTTTTTTGCCATTGGTTTGTTTTTTCCACAATAAAGTGAACAGAATCCTCCCTAACCCTACTAAACAGATGGGCATATATTGAGGAAATACCGTATATACTCAAGTATAAGTCGAGTTTTTCAGCACATTTTTTGTGCTGAAAACCCCCCACTCAACTTATACTCGAGTCAGAGTCTGTATTATGGCAACTTACATTGCCATAATACAGACAAGTCCTGTTGGGGGCTGACAGAGAGCTGTTACCTTTCCTGCAGCTTCTGTCAGCTCCCTTCTCTCTCCTCCGTTCTGGTCAGCAACCTTCTCCACTGTAAGTCTCGCGGAAGCCGCGGGGTTAGAGCGTTGCCACGGGTTACGCTCCACGCGGCAGTTCACTTACAGTGGAGGAGAAGGGAGCTGACAGGAGCTGCTGTAAAGGTAACAGCTTTCTGCCAGCCCCCCTCCTACACAGCCCATGCCACTGGACCACCAGGGAATGAGAGCCCACCTCCCTGGCCATGTATCAAGCAGGGAGGGGGGACGGAAAAATATCAATAAAAATGTAAATAATATTAAAATAAAAATATTATTATATATATAAAATAATAATTTTAAAAAAATAATAAAAATGCCCACCCCCCACCAAGGCTCTGCATCACATACACACACTGCATTCATACACACACTGCAAATAAATATTCAATTAATATAATTTTTGGGGATCTAATTTTATTTAGTTTTAAATAATTTTATTGGTACATAGGAAAAGCAGTCATCCCACGCAGGGGAGGTAAACGAACCATAAAAAAACATTCGTCATAAGCATATGCCACAAAGTGCATTATATATCTAATTAGAACAGTCAAAGCCTAGTAAGGCAGAAAGGTTAAAGTGTGTGAACACAAGTAACATAACAAAGGTTAGGCAAATGTCATATTGCACATCCGTTCCAACATTAGCAATAAAAGATAAAAACTTTGCTTTTAATAAGGGGCATTATAAAAATCTCTGCTGCATGTAAATTGAATCTATTTATGATGTATCATTACAGAATGTGTGTACATATACTTTCTTCTTGCGTGAAGTACTCTATTATATTTAATAATTTTTGCTTTTTCGGGAGCAGTTCATCCATGTTTAAGTCAGTTGGTCTTAATTTATTTGGCAGCATACTAAGTTTTAGAATTTCCAATATTTTGTTAGGATGTTAGTTTAGCAAATGTACAGGTAGAACAGAACTACTTCTGGCCACAAGAGGGCACACATTGATGATTTTACTAGCTGCACTGAGAAGTCCTTTTTTAAAATTGAATTGTATTTATTTATTGGCATTAAGTAACCTTTGTACTTCAGCTATGACAAGAAGTCCATAAGTATTACGCAGTGAGGAAATTCACTCATTATGTTTTATTCATATTTAATGTGGTGTGAAATATTTCTTCAGGAAGGATCTGAGTAGATGCTGATAGACTGCAAATGCTAGTCAGCTGCACATGCTGTTCCTTGATTACAAATTGATTAACTACTTCACACCTACCC